AATCTTGGCACTTTGGGAAGCTGAGGTGGGAGAATTGCTTTAGGTGAGGATTTAGGGACCAGCCTAAACAAAAGTAAGACCCCATTTCTACAAAAAATGGAAAAATTAGCCAGGCATTATGGTGTGTGCCTATAGTCCCAGCTATTCAGGAGGCTAAGGCAGGAAGATCGCTTGAGCCCAGGAGTTTGACGTTGCTGTGAGCTATGAAGATATCACTGTCATATCTAGCCTGGGTCACAGAGTAAGACCCTGTCTAAAAAAATATGGTTGCAAATCAAAGGCTATTAAAGGAAACTAAGTCACAAAGAAATTAGGAAGGAGTTCTCTTCTTTTTTGAGACAGAGCCTCAAGCTATTGCCCTGGGTAGAGTGCCATGGCATCACAGCTCACAGCAACCTCCAACTCCTGGGCTTAAGTGATTCTCCTGCCTCCACCTCCCAAGTAGCTGGGACTACAGGCACCCACCACAACACCCAGCTGTTTTTTGGTTGCAGCCATCATTGTTGTTTGGTGGCTTGGACTGGATTCAAACCCACCAGCTCAGGTGTACGTGGCTGGAGCCTTAGCTGCTTGAGCCACAGGCACTGAGCCGAAAGGACTTCTCTTAATGGAGAGCTAGCAAAAAGTTGTGGAGGGCTGTGTATATTTTCACTGTTTTAACAGGGTGTGCAGAATTAATCAATAACTAAAAACCTTTCCAGAATTTTCCATGAAGGCTATGTTAACCAGTTTGATGAAAATATTTCAAATTGTATATAAACACAGCACATTGTACCCCATAACTGCATTAATGTACACAGCTATGATTTAATAATAAAAAAAAAACTTTCCAGAATTTAATTCTACATTACACCTTCTTCCAGAGTGTCAAGAACTGGTTCCATATTACTTATGTTCACTAGAATACTCTGCAATCCATGGAGAGAAGTTATCCTCACACAAGGCCCACAAAGCCAATTACCATTTTGCAATCCCGAATGAAATAATGGTAATAGATCTGAAAAATGATCATCAGTGGCCATTAAAACCATTAGATAAAATGCTATTTTTTTTATTTTTTCTTGTGTGTCAAATGATCCTTTTTTGAAGTATTTTCCTTAATACTATTTTTTATTTTTATTTTTTGCAGTTTTTGGCCAGGGCTGGGTATGAACCTGCCACCTCTGGCATATGGAGCCGGTGCCCTACCCCTTTGAGCCACAGGCACTGCCCTTCCTTTATACTTTTTAACTAGCTGGGCATTCCAGAGTACCATTGTTGATTGTCATCTATGATGTCATGAGGGTGGTGGCCATCAACATGGTAGCCCACAGACTGGGAAGTCCCCAGGATTTCTTTAATGGTTCCACAGAGTTCTCTGGCTAAAGATCAGTGCTGCATCTGATGTTGACAATCTCATCAAAAGTGATATTTCCGTTGTGCCATTGTTGAATGTTTTTCTGTTTCTTTCTGCCTCTTCCTATTTCCTTGAGGGCATTGATGATAAGGACAGAAACAGAAGGGACCATTTCAATCTGGGCTTGTCTGTTCTAGATAGTTAGTTTTGCTGTAATCCTCAGTCTCTGGGGATTATAGTCATCACCAACCTTTTTGGGAGACAAACCCAGGGGGCGGATCTTGAGGGCCAGGGCATATGTGGAACCAACTTCACCACCCGTGCACCTCATGTACACAACTTTGATCTCATTGGGGTCGAACTTGGACAGCATGATGGAGGCGGCTAGTGTCAGATTGTTGCAGGAAGATGAGCCCCAAAGGAGAGACCCAAACCATCTTGTTTATAAGAAGAAGGTTTTTATTCAGCCAGTGGAGTGAACCACTTAGAATAATTCCAAATGGCCACGCTCTCCGACTGGCTTGGTCTTTCCCTTTTTATCTATAGTCAAAAACTTCCAACCCCCAGGTACCTTTCTCATTGGTCAGTTGAATCAAGCTGGAGAAGCTGGCTCTAGCTTTTACAGAACCGTGGGCTTTTACAGAAGAGGAAGCAAGTGTTAGTTTCCAGGTCCCAGGAAGCTAAGTTTCTACAAATTCGTAAGAGCTGAGTCACCATGGGGAGGACCTTGCAGGTGTATCCTTGGAGTCTCCTTGGGAAGACCTCTGCTCTCTTAGGCCTTATTTTCTCCTGCTATCCTCTCTCAAGATGAACCCAGATCTGGGACAACCCGAGAAAGTTGCACCTTTGTCTTCTCCAAGCCAAAAGCCAAAAAAGGGTAAAATGTAATTTAAATCCCTAGTCTGTATCAGGTATGAAAATTATAAAATTTATGCATTGGTGGTAAAAAAAACAAAACAAAAAACTTGTTTCGAGCCTCCTTCACAGTCAGTGGTAGTCATGTGACTAAGTTCTAGTCAGTGAGATGAAAGCAAAAATGGAATGTGGTGTATGCTGGAGCCTTCCTTCTCATCAACCCTTTTTCTTCCTGAGAGACAAGGTCTTACTATATTTCCCAGGCTGTTCTCAAACTCCTGTCCCAAGCAATCCTCCCACCTCCACCTCCCCACTAGTTGGAACAATAGGCAACCCTTCCTTTGTATTCTTCAACTCATTGCTTCATCAGTTCTGCTGCCTACAGTGCAACACAGACATCCTGGATGGTGAGTTCATCCTGCTCTGTGGCACAGGAGAAAGAACAGCTGGTTTAGGGACTCTGTGGAGAACCACCAAGCTGGCCTGTCTTTCATGTCTTTTATGTGGTGGTGAAGTAAACAGGGGAAGCAGGAAGAGCTGGCTGAGCCTGGAGGAGGAAGTGGAGAGGAGGGAAGAGGGGAAAAAGCCAAGAAGGGAGGAGGGAGGGCGGCTGAGGGAGAAGGGGACAGGGAGGAGAAAATAGGAAGTAGAGAGGGGAGGGGAAAGAAAGGAAGAGGGAGCAAAATGGAGGAAGAAAGAGAAGGGAGGAAGGAGAGAGGGGTATAAGAAGAGTGGCAGGAGCAGAGGCCCAAGATTAAATTGGCAACTACTGATTATGATGCTTTCTGGTACAAGCTACAGAAAACTAATTCAAGATGATGGAAATAATAAGGTAATGTGTTTATCATCTCAGGTATGAAGTCCATTGATAGGAATAGGACTGGGCTTGGGCATGATAGGGACAGCAGGGCTCTTGTTCCACAAAATGGCTGACCATACCAATGTCATGTTTACTTATTTTCTTTTTGAGACAGAGTCTCACTTGGCCACCCTCAGTAGAGCACCATGGCATCACAGCTCACAGCAACCTCCAACTCTTGGACTTAAGCACTTCTCTTGCCTCAGTCTCCCAAGTAGCTGGGACAACAGGCACCCGCCACAACACCCAGCTTTTTTTGTTGTTGTTATTGTTGTTGTGGTTGTCATTGTTTAGCAGGCCCTGGCCTGTTCAAACTCACCAGCCCGGGTGCATATGGCCTGCACCCTAATCACTGAACTATGGGCACCGAGCCTCCAACATCATGTTTAGACACAGCATTGATCAGAGGAAGGGGGACTTCCTATATCTCTTTCTGAAAAGAATCCTTTTCCAGAAGCTTCCTAGCAAACTTTCCCTCCAGTCTCATTGGCCAAAACTAGATTATGTACCAATTACCAAAGTAATCACAGGCAAGGAAAATAAGATTACCATGAATAATAAACCATTTAACTGGGCCAGGTATGGTGGCTCATGCCTGTAATCCTAGCACTGTTGGAGGCCGAAGTAGGAAGATCACTTGAGCTCAGGAGTTCTGAGCAAGAGTGTGATCCTATCTCTACGAAAAAATAGAAAAAAATTAGCTGAACATTGTGGTGGGTGCCTGTAGTCCCAGCCACTTGGGAGGCTGAGGAAAGAGGATCACTTAAACCCAGCAGCCTGAGGTTGCTTGAGGTTATTGTGAGCTGGGCTGACACCACTGCACTCTAACCTGGAGCAACAGAGACTGTTTAAAAAAAAAAATTCAACTGTGTAAGATTAACCTCCATTACTGGGGATGAGATTACCTTCCCCTGAGTCACACAGAGGAGGAATAGACACAGGACCAGTCTATGGTTATCCATAGTCATTGTCATTTGTAAGGTTATTATGACAAATTTCCAGAAGATGGCAGTAAAGTGCTTAAGGAAAAGGTAGCTTTTCCTGATTTCAGTGACTGCAAGAATCGTAGATGCCTAATAAAGTCAAGATCCTGCTGGAGATGGGAAATGAGTGCTTAATAGGTAATATAAAGTTCTACAACAAAAAAGTAAATAAGCTACTGTAAGCCTTTTAAATTACATGTGGTAAATTCTACTTTAATGAAATAATTCATTCCAGGTTTAAGAAAAGTTTTGAATCTTTATTCAATTCCAATAGAGTTACTCTGGAAAAAAAAAAAAACTAGACAGATATCCTAAGTTGAAAATCATGAAGTACAAATCATGAAGTATAAAAAAGTTTAAAATAAAGTGTCAATGTTGATTTTTATAAGAGTGACAGCATTCATACATCTTTTATAACAAATGATTAAGGCATATAGAAAATTACTGTAACTTGAGAGAAGATATCAAGGGAACAAATTAAACATTATCACTGAAGATTAGTCATACAAAGCTTGCTTAATTTTAAGAAATCTGAGATTTAAAGAAAACACTAAAGTTCTTCTACTATTTCTGTCAACTACATGTCCAAGACAAGGAAAATACAGTCAAAACTGGACAAGCATATAAATGATAAGGTAGGGCATACACAGTGATAAGTCAGGGAAAAAAACTTATTTTATTTATTTATTTATTTATTTATTTTTTGAGACAGAGTCTCACTATGTTGCCCTCAGTAGAGTGCTATGACGTCACAGCTCACAGCAACCTCAAACTCTTGGGCTTAAGTGATTCTCTTGCCTCAGCCTCCCAAGTAGCTGGGACTACAGGCACTCGCCACAATGCCCAGCTATTTTTGTTGTCGTTGTTGTTGCAGTTGTCATTATTGTTTAGCTGGCCCGCGCTGGGTTAGAATCCACCAGCCTTGGTGTATGTGGCTGGTGCTGTAACCATTGTGCTACGACCTCTGAGCCAGGAAAAAAAATTTAAAGTGAGACTTGATAATCAATTTTTTTCATTCCTATAACTTCTATCACCTTCTCTGAATATCAAAGCAAAACTGTACAAATTATTATATGTTATGAACACGCAGGGGATTTTCTCTGGATTAGTTTACCCTTGGGGTCAATAATATATGCAACGTGTACGATGAAATGGAATTCCTTTCATATCTTCCCTATGGTCACGGGCATAGTCCCATAAGTAATAATCCAGAAGAATGCAATTGATCTCTCCATTCGGTTTTTCACCCTTTTTTTCAATAAGTTCCATAAGACAATCCTGGATAAGCTCAACACACCAAAGAGAGCACCCTCTGATTTCTACCTCTTGCTTATCTCCGTATGAGAGCATCTCTCCTGCAAAGGAAGAAAACAGAACAAGAAACATTAATAGTCAAGGATATAAAATCTACTCAGAACTTTACTACAGAACAAAATAGCATTTTTTTCTCTTCTCTTTTTAATTTCAAAATATTAATGGGATATAAACTTTTTTTTTTTTTGCAGTTTTTGGCAGGGGATGGGTTTGAACCCACCACCTCTGGCATATGGGGCTGGCACCTTACTCCTTTGAGCCACAGGTGTTGCCTGGGATATAAATGTTTTTATTACATGGACTGCTTTTGTAATGCTTGACTCATGGCTGTTAGTGTGCCCATCACAGTGTTCACCATACCATTGGGTAGGTTTTTGCTCCTTTCCTCCTCCCCCCTCATCCCTGCTTGATTTCCAATGAGCTTTTTTTTCTTTTTTTAAGAGACAGAGTCTCACTTTGTTGCCCTTGGCAGAGTGCTGTGGCGTCATAGCTCACAGCAACCTCCAGCTCTTGGGCTTAGGCAATTCTCTTGCCTCAGCCTCCCAAGTAGCTGGGACTACAGGCACCCGCCACAACACCCACATATTTTTTTATTGCAGTTTGGCTGGGGCCAGGTTTGAACCCGCCACCCTTGGTATATGGGGCTGGCGCCTCACTCACTGAGCCACAGGTGCCACCCGATTTCCAATGAGTTTTAAATAGTACACATTCTAATGGTAATTTAAAACATTTCTAAACATGGGCATTAATTTTATATTACAAGTTAAATTCCACAAGGACAGGGGGTTTTTAGGCCTAATACATCGACCATGTTAGATTAGAGTAAAAAAAGGTAAGACAGCCAACATATTAGGGCTAAGACTTAGCCCTAGAATCACAATGAAGAATCTAAACTTAGCAAACTGCATTGTCAGTCTTTGTAAATGGCTAAGACGTATGACTTTGTCAACAAGATGTGTTAAAGACAAAATGAACGGAAATGTAAGACTTCTGAGGGCAGCCAGAACAGGGGAGAGGGAAAAGAATTTAAGAGTAGCACATCCTTAAGTTTGGAAGAAGCACCACTGGAGACCAGTTAAGGATGGTCCTACCTCATCTAGTCAAGCTAAGCTGGTTCTAGATTTTACTTAAAGTAGTCTTAAAATATCAGTGCGTTATGCTTGTGTGTGTCCCTTTTATCATTTCTAATTATCTTACTTTATTTCTACTTTAGTTTTCCAATAAGATACCTTTTGACAAACTAAATTTTTATTAAATGAACTAAGGAGCAAAGGAATTTACCCTATGTCAGACTAGCTAAGGATTACAGACCCTTTTACTTTATTTTTTCCCTTTTGTTGTTGTTGTTGAGACAGAGTTCTACCCTATGCTTTGAGCTAAGTGCAATGGCATTGTAGCTCACTGCAACCTCAGACTCAGACTGTAGGCATCCTGCTGCCTCACCTCAGAAGCTGCTGGGATTACAGGTGCTTGCCACAGTGCCCTGCTGTGTTTTTCAATTTTTTTTTTTTTCATGAGTCGGGTTCTCACTCTCCCTCAAACAAACCTCAAACTCCTGAGCTCAAGCAATCCTCCCACCTCAGCCTTCCACAGTGCTGGAATTATCGACATGAGCCACCACGCCTGGCTACTTTATTTTTTTGAGACAGAGTCTCGCTTTGTCACCCTCAGTAGAGTGTCATAGCTCATAGCAACCTCAATCTCTTGGGCTCAAGTGATCTTCTTGCCTCAGCCTCCCAAGTAGCCGGGACTAAAGGCACCTGCCACAACACCTAGCTATTTTTAGAGACTGGTCTCACTCTGGGTCAGGCTGGTCTCAAACTCTGAGCTCAGGCAATCCACCCGCCTCGGCCTCCCAGAGTGCTAAGATTATAGGCGTGAGCCACTGCACCTGGCTGTACAGACCTTTTTAGAAGGTAGGCACCTTTTGAAAGCTGTAGCTGGATGTCTGGAAAAGAGCTTCTGAAGCTGATGTGGACGGGAGAAGAAAATTTTGATTTCTGTACAACTATACTGAATGGTCTTTCTCATCAGGGTTTTTCTCAGAATAGCAGAGACAATTATATGTTATAAAAATCCAGAAGGAGATGAACAAGCCATTGGGAGTCAAGAAAAGCTGCATGGAAAAAAGGTAGCATTTGAGAGAAAAATGCTTTGAGAGAGGGCATCTTTTTCAGATTCACACAAAGTCTATGGATGTGCAGGATCTGAATTTTAAAAAAGAAGGAAAATTTGGACCAGGGAAACCATGCAAGAGAATGCTTAGAGACAGGAATGAGCAGTGTACATACCATACATAGCCCAATAAGTAAATAAATAAATAAGCAAATAGCTGAATATAGCTGTATGAAAAAGAAGCCTTGATTGCTAAATGGTATTCCTTTTAAAGGTATCCAATAATTAACAACCCAGGACACAAGCATTATAACATAAAATAGCATGTTATTTTTCAAATGAGGAAATAGAAGACAAAAGGAATTGCCACAGTAGCATAAAGACCTGGTAGAACCAACCATAAGAATAATTTTAACTTTATATTGTTTTATTCTGATTTGGGGAGATTTAAATCTATTCAACAAGAGAAAATTACTCAATCATTAAAAACTACCTCCTATTTTTTTTTTTAGAGACAGAGTCTCACTTTATTGCCCTTGGTAGAGTGCCATGGCATCACAGCTCACAGCAACCTCCAACTCCTAGGCTTAGGTGATTCTCTTGCCGCAGCCTTCCAAGTAGCAGGAACTATAGGCACCCAACACAACGCCCAGCTATTTTTTTGTTGCAGTATGGCTGGGGCTGGGTTTGAACCCGCCACCCTTGGTATATGGAGCCAGCACCCTACTCACTGAGCCACGGGCATTGCCCCCAAAACTACCTCCTTTCAATAAAGAAAAAAGAAGCAGAAAATCTTTGTACCCAAGAGAGAAACTAACATAAAAATAAAACAATTCTTTTTCTTTTCTTTTTTTATCTTTCTTTTTTTCTTTTTTTTTTTTTTAATGAGACAGTCTCACTCTGTAGCCCCCTAGATAGAGTGGTATGATATCATAGCTCACAGTAACCCTAAACTCCTGAGTTCAAGCAATTTTCTTGCCTCAGCCTCCTGAGTAGCTTGAGACCAGCCCAACATGATGCCTGACTAGTTTTTCTATTTTTAGTAGAGATGAGATCGCTTGCTCAAGCTCAGGTGATCCACCTGCCGCAGGCTTCCAGAGTGCTAGGATTCCTTCCAGGCATTAGCCACTGTGTGCAGCCCTCTCTTCTTAAGATACGGGGTGGGGGGCTCTCACCTTTTTGCCCACACTGGAGTGCAATGGTACAATCACAGCTCACTATAACCTCAAATGCCTGGGCTCAAGCAAGCCTCCCATCTCAGCCTCTGAGTAGTTAGGATTATAGGCTCACACCACTATGCCAAGCTATGTTTTTATATTTTTGTGGAGACAGGTCTCAGTATGTCCACACTGGTATTGAACCCCTAGCCTCAAGCATAATTATTTTTCTTATATGAGGAAATTTTTAACAAACAAAAAGCTAATTTTCACACAAATTTCTCAACTCAATTTACCTATTGTTATATATTATAAGGCTCCCAGTCTTGATAGCAATAATAATAAAGAATAATGGTGAATAAATACACTTAGAGAAGTGACTTGTGCAATATAACCCACTGGCAGACCACGGAGCCTCCTGACTTCAAATCCAGTAATTATTATCTATCCCTCAGCCTACCCTTTCTATCACAATGTAGTATGCTCTTCAGCTTAATTTATAATTTTCAAATACATAGATCTGATTGTCAGTGTTGCACATTTTCTTTCTTTTTTTTTTTGTAGAGACAGAGTCACACTTTATCGCCCTTGGTAGAGAGCTGTGGCATCACACTGCTCACAGCAACCTCTAACTCCTGGGCTTAGGTGATTCTCTTGCCTCAGCCTTCCGAGTAGCTGGGACTACAGGCGCCCATCACAACACCCAGCTATTTTTTTGTTGCAGATTGGCTGGGGCCAGGTTTGAACCCACTACCCTCGGTATATGGGGCCCTACCCACTGAGCCACAGGAGTTGCCCAGTGTGTTGCACATTTTCATGGAACACAAATTTTGATTTCATCTTATTAGACTCTTAATTGTTCAAACAGCACAATTTTCCATAATGTCCATATTCTACAGCATAACAACAAAAGCAACTAGCAGGTGTCATGGTGGGCAACTACAGTCCCAGCTACTTGGGAGGCTGAGGCAAGAGGATCACTTGAACCCAGGAGTGTGAGGTTGAGGTGGCTGTCAGCTAGGCTGACCTCACAACATTCTAGCCTGAGCAACACAGTGAGACTCTGTCTCAAAAACAACGAAAGCCATTTTCTCTACATTTGAGGTTGCAAACCTTTAAGAAGCTTCTTCAGTAGTTCATCAGAGTATTTCAGGGCTCCAAGGTAAACAAGAACTTGAGGTAATCTATAGTCAGCAAACATGGTGATACTGGAAATATCCGTAAAGCAGCCGTCTCCTTTTCCTTCTAATACACTCCACGTATCTGCTACAAGGATTTGGGCTCGTTTGTAAAAAGAAACTCTTTCCCCCTGATTAATAAAGAGAATATAAATGTTACATGGGTATCTGAAAACTTTAGTTTTAAAAAGGCATATGTTGAATAAGCTTACTCTGTTGGTAAGAATTTATAGACCTTTTACAGAAAACAAAATGATTTGAAAAACATTATTATCTATATCACCCCACATTTGCTTCCTATTTTTCTCTAAACATATAAAATACAATTTATATAATCGTGGTACTACTAGTATTTTTTTTTTTTTTGAGACAGAGTCTCACAATGTCACCCTTGGTAGAGTGCTGTGACATCACAGCTCATAGCAACCTCAAACTCTTGGGCTTAAACGATTGTCTTGCCTCAGCCTCCCAAGTACTTGGGACTACAGGTGCCCACCACAATGCCCAGCTGTTTTTTGTTGCCATTGTCATTGTTGTTTAGCTGGCTAGGCCAGATTCGAACCTGCCAGCCTCTGTGTTTATAGCCAGCACCGTAACCACTGTACTACAGGCGCCAAGCCTAGTTTTCTTTTTTAATAGCATTACTTCATATTTCTGTATCACTATACATATTTCTATATCACTATAATCCAACTGTTCATTATTTTTAACATCTAGAGGGTATTCCTTTTGAAGGTTTTGTAAATTTAAAAGGTTTCCAATTGCAACATAACTTACATTAATTGTATAAAATATGGGAGAGTATAAAAAAGAAAATAATCATCCATATGCTCAGATCTGAAAAGAATTCAATAACATGATTATTATTTTTTTTTTTAAGTTTTCCCTTTTTTTTTTGTAGCTTTTTTTTTGGTTGGGTCTGGGTTTGAACCCACCACCTCCGGCATATGGGGCTGGCGCCCTACTCCTTAAGCCACAGGCACTGCCCCAACATGATTATTTTTGAGATAAAGACTTAATTGACCTCCTAGCACTCTGGGAGGCTGAGACAGGAGATTGCTTGAGCTCAAGAGTTCAAGACCAACCTGAGCAAGACCCAGAACCCATCTGTACAAAAGATAAAAAAAATTGTAATAACTGGGCATGGTGGCTAATGCTGGAGGCTGAGGCAGGGGATGTGAACCCAGGAGTTTGAGGTTGCTGTGAACTAAGAAGATGCCATTACACTCTAGCCCAGAGGACAGAGTGAGACTCTTTCTCAATAAAAATTTTATTTTATTTTATTTTTTTTTTTTTGAG